ATCCCCTGACTTTGAGGCGATCAATGGGGTGGTCTATTATACCAAAACTCCCACCATCGTTCCGGTCATTCCATCTTCTCTGGTACCTGAGGTCCTCGCCACATTCCATGACGCTGTTTACAGTGGTCACTTGGGCGTTGACAAAACCATGGACAGAGTCAAGAAGAGCGCATTTTTCCGCAACATGCGTCAACAGATTGTGGACTACATCGCCACCTGTGACATCTGTCAGCGAGTAAAATTTGACAATCGGAAACCTCCTGGTTTGATGCAATCGTCGCCATTGATCTTTTAGTCGTCATTGATGGGTTCAGTAAGTGGGTGGAATTGTTTCCTCTGCGAAGCACTTCCGCCGCGGTAATTGGTAAAATATTGGAAGAACAGGTATTTTGTAGATTTGGTATGCCAGAGACGATTGTGAGTGACAATGGTACCAATTTTACATCTACAATTTTAAAATTTTTGTGTAATCAATGGAAGGTTACCCAAAAATTTACTAGTATTTATCACCCACAATCCAATCTGACAGAAAGAGCCAATCGAACAGTTAAAACTATGATTAGAGCTTATCTTGATGACCAGGCTCATAATAAATGGTCAAAACAGATTCCTTTTCTACAATTAGCCATTAACACGTCAACTCAAGAGTCTACAGGTTTTACTCCTGCCTCAATTCTTTTGAATAATGATCCAAAATTACCTTTTGATATTAATGTCGGCCTCACTGACTCTGAACTAAAAGTTTTAAAGAAGTCAATTCCAAAAACATTTCAAGAAATTATATTTGACAGGCATAATCAGTATCTTAAAATTCTTTCTCTTGTCACTCAGAACCTGACCCGAGCCAAAGAGAAACAAAAGAAGTACTATGACCAACGCCATAGAGATGACCATTTCCAAGTTGGAGACCATGTAGTCATCCAAGACACCACTCTATCTGACAAGGACAAAGGGATAACGGCTGGTCTTTGCCCTCTCTTTCGTCCAGGAGTGGGAGTCATTTCTAAAATTGTCGGCGAACTGACGTATGAAGTCACATTTCCTGATGGCGTCGTTAAATCTCCACTTCATATCCAATTCTTACGGAGATACCATCCGCGTCGGCCTCAGACATCGCCACAATTGACACAACCATCACAAATTACGTCGACCCCAACTCAACAATCCAATGTCGACGCATCATCTTCTTGTCCAGATAAGGATACTCTTGATACAATTAATAATAATGATGATGCTGTATATGGTGATGATGTACCAATTAATAATGCTAATTTACCTAAAAATAGTCGTAGTAATCGTAGACATAGTATTCCTAAATTAAGTCCAATTAGACCCAATGAGTCACATCAACCTGATAATCAAGAAGTAATTTCTCGAGAAATGCCAATTCGTAGTCCAATTTCAAATTTTCAAAATGTAGTAAACCCTAGAAATAGTTCACAATCTCCTCCACCACCTCCAAGACGTAGTCGTAGACTACTTAAAAGATCGACATAATAATATAGCCGGTGGTCACAAGCGTCCTCGGTAATGAGTGGTATTCTTGGGATGTTTGATGGTGAATTTCTCTCATCTTCGAAAGAATGAAGTTCGGTGGCGTCTTGAGGGGTGATGAGCCCTTCAAGGTCAAAGCTAACGTAGTTCTAATTGTGGTATTAACTAGTGGCCACGCAATAGGATGCGTCTTGGCGACGTGACGAACTAGCCAAGGTCAAATCCAGAGAAATTGCATAAAATGAGTAGATTTCACATCGTGCAGTCCTCTGAGTCCCTCAAATCTCTTCGGAAAGTCGCAAAAATCTTGGTTAGTACGGTGGTTGGATTTGTTGAACATATTTAAGGTGATTTTTCCATTTAACATACGTTTTCAGTAAAAGTAACTTGATTAACATTGTGTGATGATGACTCATAAATTTCAAAAAAAAAATGTTCCTCAATAATTGTTCGGGGAAAATTGTTCAAATTTATACACATAATAGATAATAAGTTAGTACACTAGGAATAAAAATAAATTTGGAAAAGGCCCCATTAGATTTTTCGAAATTTAGAAAGTTCCCATTTTCCAATGTAAAACTCAGGAATATTGGGGGAAAATTTTTCGGAAATATAAGTCAGGAAAATTATATATGATAGATGTTTAGTTGTATGATAATATTTAATCATAAAAATACAAAAGGCTCCAATAGTTTTAGAGATAAAAATTCCTAAAATTTTGATTTTGTGTCAATACATTACATATGTACATATGTATACATGGTACAGCTTTGTAAAAGGTTATAAAATGGTGGTTATCGATCTTGGGTTAAGCCAATAAGTATGAATTCTAGCTATAATTAATCATAGGATAATATAGTAGTCTTACAATTTCGTATGGCAAGGTTCAATTGTAGGGAAATTTTGAAATTTCCATTTTCCAATGTTAAAATTCAGGAATTTTGGAACAAAAATTTTCATTATAACTTTCTGAAAAATTTATTTAGGATAAGTCTATAGTCGTACATTAATATTTAGCAGAAAAAAACAATCGGTCAAGGTTAGTTCTTTAGATAAAAATTCATGAAATTTTGGTTTTTGTACTAATACATATATATGTAACACAGAGTAGTCATCATGACGTCACACTGTTAGTATACATAGTAGAGGTTACACGTAGTATAAATAGTAATTTAGTGATATCAGATTGCTGGATATAAAATTTGGTGTCATAATTTTTACACATAATATTAATAAGTACAAAATTAAGTAGGTTATCAAAATAATTTTATCAATATATTTAGATATAAGATTCATTAGTTAAACTTTAGCCCTGCGCCCAACTCTCTTTACGTTACTTCATGGTGGACAGGTTCCATTGTTACGTAACGTTCGGGGAGGGGAGTGCAACCTTTGGAACGCTGATGTAAATGTGACATCAGCATTTCAAAGGTCAAGGGATTCAAAATACATAGATGTAGTTTTCATATGTATCTCGCCTCTCATGTGTGTCCAAACCATATTGTGTGCAGGAGGAGATCACGAAGGGGAAGAGAGGATAGGAATGAGGAGCACAGAATGATGCCTACGTCATCATGATCATCATGATCATGAGGGCGTAGTTTGTGCATATGTAGCGTAAGTAAAGGTAGTGATCAAGTAGGCGTGGCTTATGTGATCACGTATATATAGAGTAAGCAGAGAGAAGAAGAGTAGTGTAGTTTTAGATTCAGGATCAGCAGGTTAGTTTTAGTGATCATCAAGATCAAGTTCAAGGTTTAAGGCTTCGGAAACTTAATAATAAGTTCCTGTCTAGATAATTAGTTAAAATATAAATTATAGCATTAGCTCTCCCACGTATTTATAATACGAGCATTTCTGTAAAGTCAATATTTTTCAGTCGGTATTGATGTAAATAAATTTATTCATTATTCTTGTAAAAAAGTGAGTTTCTACTACAAATTTCTTGCACAACGTCACAAAGAAAAGGGGCATCCGCGAAAGTGGATGTGAATCAGGACACGCAATCCCATAATCGAATAGGGAGCATTACAAGTTACACAAAATTTTACCAAGCAATAAATTGTAACTTTACATTGCATGGAGTCAAGAAAAACTTTCGTCTACTTTTTCTGATCAAACTATATTCCTTTAATCAAGCAGGGGCGGGTAATTTTTGACCTCGCGAAATCCATTAGGATGTGATAATCCGTTTCAAAAAGTGGTGAGATCCATTTACGCATGGCCCAGACAACTAATTGAATAACTGTGTCAATTTTATTTTTAGCCGAGTGTCGATAAAGTGGTGTCTTTTCAGGAAATTTTGCGTGGGCGACGGGGAATTCATTCTTTCGAAGAACCCATTTCCATTATTGGATCGATTTAAGTAATTCGCAAAAAGAAAGAGACAAATTTACAGTTTTTCCTTATTCTAAGTGCACTAGAAATCTTGCACCGATATTTTTTAAGGGTTTGTTGAACCAAATTGTGACAATTTGAGACAAACTTTAAGTGTAACAAATCAGTTTAAAGACGTTGCTGAGATAATTGGGCTTAAAGACGAAAAAAGAAGCTCACATTGTTTTTAATACGCATGTTTTCAGCATTTGGGTGGATTTGCAATCTGATTCATACAAAATTTAAGAAATGTGGAGTAAAAAGTATACACTTTTTTGCAGAATTTGCTCTCATTTCATTCACAATGGTTTATTGTCCTAAAATCTGGGAAATTAAAGCATGTACAACATATATGAATAAAGCAAACATAAAACCAATCAATATCTGCATCATGAAACTGTGTATATTGCTACTGCTACATATTTAATGATCCAATTAAGCGAGACATGATTCCAACCAAATTTGAATCAGTGGTCTCAATTTGCATGGATTTTGAAACAAGATTAATTAGGCATTCTTCTCCTCCATGCACCAACCACCCATGGCAGAAATTCTGCATTTTCGCTAAATATTTGGTAATATGAATCCTTCCGTATTGCATGAAAATCAGTGTCCACATTTCTTGCACTTTTTCTACATTTCTGGCACTATGCACTGCAAGAAATGCAAAAAATGAGCGCACACTTTGTGCTAGACTTAATTATATAGATTGGACTAGAGTCCATTTCTTGCAGTCGTGAAAGAAATTATGCATTTCAAAAAATAACAATTTCTTGCAGGTAGTTTTTTATGAAAATTCAGTTTTCGACTGATATTATCCATTTATTATTTCCAAAAACAAGAGGGAAATGACGACAAAAGAACATCTTTTCTGTATGAAGTCAGCAGCTAATAAAATGCATGTAAATAGTTTAAGCCCAAATATTCAGACGTTGCCCTGTCTGAAAGTTATATGTGCAAAATGCTTTGAGTGATTTGCATTATTGGAGTCTAATATTGAATTATTCTTCTTAGATGATGGAACAGACGTATGCATGAGAACGAGATGTGTACATTATGCTGATCCCCACTAAGGAAATTACGTATGAAAATCAAATTATCGCCTAAAATTTGCATGTGCAATGCGATATGTTTGTCACTCTGTCTCATAACTTGGTTCGTGGTGTTCAAGTAATAATCCAATCTTTGAAATTTCTGGGTTGAGAAACCATCCTTATTTTACGACCCACTTGATTTGACAAATTTGATAATTTAACAATGAAGATGTCCATCTTCACGGTATTTTTAGTCATCCTATCACTCGAAAGTTGTCTCCAAGGCGGTGCGAGTTCCAGAACTTCGCGACAATTGGAACTTACCCAGGAGCAAAATGACCTCTTGCGGAGCACGATTAATAAGCTGGCTCGAGAGGAGTTAATCCCACAGAATACAAACTTTGAGGTAATTGTTTATCACATTTTTTTTGGTTGGTAGGCGGATAAGTGATTTTCTGAAAGTGAGAGGAGAGGAAGTCCTATTTTCATGTTCTTAGTAAATATTATGACCCCAAACAGTCAAAATGACAATCAATTTCGTCGTATCCGTGCAGTTTTTTACCCAAATCCGTAAATAATGAAATTTTATATTTATATTTCAGTTGACCAACTTCACCAGCAAATTCCCATCCACCAAAACTGTTGTTCAGAAAAATCCCGACGGTTCGACAACGATTTTAACCTCGGGAACTTATACTTCGCTCGGGACCAAGACTTTCTCCGCCTCGTGGACATTCCTCCTATTGGTGGTCATGCTGACCGTCTTAACGGACACCTGCAGAATGGACACCTTCCTCGATTTGTTTATTCTTCGCCAGGATGCAACCTTGTAATTAATTTGATTTTCTACAAATTTCTTTGCTAAGAACTAAATATTTGATATGCTTTTTATTTATTTACTGACAATAATATGCGGATCACATTTTATTTTGATTATACATTTACATTACACGAGTGTCCGAATGTGGCATGTTTCACTTTATTGGGAAATTACTCTTGTATGTACACTCTTTTTTTATTATTGCTGACTAACTCCTCAGTTTCCCGTTCGATTAGGCAATCAAATCGGTTTAATTTGTTTTTTGTCCACAAATATCGTAAAAAGTGGATGCCGAGCAATGAAAGTTCACTTTTCCCATTGATTGTGACATTCTTTATTTACTGGTTACAATAAAGAGCTACATAAATTTTGACTACGTGTCTCCCGAAATTCATTTACCCGTTCAACAAACCTCCCATCAAACCGCCTAATGACCCCACGGACCCATTCAGCGAGTCCGCAACTGCTCCCAAAGTCCCCGAGAGAGATTTTACCGTTCCCTGGACAAAAGGAGATTATCTTTAGTTGAGGACACAGAATTTGTCAAGTTGGCGAATATTTAGGGTCACTCGTGAACAAAATGAAGTTGTTCATTGACATTTTTAGTTTAAATATTCGGCACAGGTTTTTAAATTAATTAATTACGGCCAAGAGATCCGGTGCACCGCCGGCAACCTTGCCCAGAATGTTGGTCACCCCGCCGAGGTTGGACGACAAGAAGGTGAGCGTCCCTTGGAGAGGATTTCTCAAATCATTTGGCGAATTTGGGAGCACGGAGCCAATTATGGTTTGCAATTGTTCCGCTGGTTTTCCCTGCATATTAATTAAATAAGTAATTACATGTTAGGCAATAATTAAGTAATTAACTAACTAACCACTTGTATGGAGGCTTGCGACATTATGCCAGGCATCGCGTTGGCCAGCGCATCGGTCAGTTTGCCACCCTTGATCCCTTGGAGCGCCACTTTGGCAGAGGTTTGGACTTCGAGAGGGACATCTTTGTTGGTGGAGAGGGCTTGCATGGCCTGCCGCAATTTTGGACAAATTTTGCTTTATACTTAATAATTAATTAAGTTAGTTAACTGAAATAGAATACCTTGCTCAGATCGGTGACCATCCGTTTCGCAGCGACCATTCGATACTGCTTTAGTTGCGCGGGGGTGGAGGATTTCAGCTTTTTGGTTATTATTGCTTCCGCTTTTGCTTTCCCCTTTTGCGGTGCGGCGTGACAGGTTATCTGCAGATAAGGTAAGAACACGGGTCACGATTTACATATACTTTGTCGTATTTCTCTTATTCTTACCTGGATGGCAGCGATGAGGAGGAAAATGCTGATCACCGGTTTGAAACCCATGACGAAATGTAAACTTTGTGGCAATATTTTTATAAAAATGTGAAGCTTGAGTGTCGTCGAATGAAAATTATGACCAAGTTATAGGCCGCTGCATTGGTATTTATGGTTTTTTTCTGGGTAAGTACGTACAATAATTTATGCCGTGGGCGTACCAATTCCACGTCTAAATTTAGCTTCCTCCATCTCATTCACTATCCGACTTCCGGCCACTTTCGCCAGGTTTCCTATAAAAATTGACGGTTTGCATGCAACCCAAGACTGGAAGTTATTGTCCAGGTGGTCTGTCGGAGAATGTGGACGTACATAAAGTATTCTCTGCCGGAAGCAGACAATTTATGTCGTATCGGAAAAATATGGGAAACGATGGAAGAATTTATCCCCAATTATGGTGACATTGACTTCTTGGTCATTTTTTTCGTGCCGAGGTGACATAACGATCGAACCATTTGGTGATTGGTAATAAATATGGATACACATGTTCCTTCTTCCTGTTCCTGAACTATATCTCCCCTTCTAAGAACACGTCTACTAATCAGTTTTGTGATGACGACTGGATTGAATGTGATAATCTTATATTTCCTCAACTTCCTGATCTTACACACGACACAATGACGTGACAGATTGCATGGAAAGATTATGTAATTCAAAATAAGGATAAATTGTCAACAAAGATTTCATAAATATCAAAAACAAATCCATACTTTATTTACTTCTTATATAATTCATCCCCCATTATGTATTCACAATGATTCATTTACTAAAAAGATAACACACAAGATACAGACGCATTTACAGTTTTAGTTTCATTTTCAAATTAATTACGTATAAGTTTAAGAAGAATAGTGGGATGAGAAGTATGCTTAAATTAAAATAAAGTTGACCAGCCCCAACAAGACTCCGGCTCCCCCGTGGGTGGTTTTGCCCCCCTTTGAACAAATCCCAACTGGTTGCTCACCCAAGTCCTTACTGATTCGAATACACTCGAGGGAGTAGCAGGCCATGTTGTGAGAGCAGGGGTGACCTTTGACCGCGAGACATTTCCCCATCGAGACGTGATACTTCAATTGTTTTCCATTGTAGAAGGTGCAGTCGCAAATTCCGTTGACACAGTCGAATCCACCAGAAATACAGTCAGCTACGTGGGCTAAATAAGTGAGTGGAAATTAGTTTGATATATTTTTTTTCAAAATTTACTTTTAAAAACTTACAGCACTTGGTTTTGTAAAGGGTTTCATTTCCTGGGCGAGGTTCCGGTAAGAGCTTAGGTTTCGGGGAGGTTGGTTGTTCCAAATCCAAAAGTTCGACGGGTTCAGATTCCTCGGATCGTTTGTCATGTTTGCCGATGATGTCGTCGCCTTCTTCAAATTGTTCTTGTTCATCTTCAGGTTTTGATCGGAGGCCGGGTTCCGGAGAAGCAAAGGTGGCGGAGAGAATGATGATGGCTAGCCACAAAAGTGGGTAGTATAATTTCACGGAGTGGTACATTTTGAAAACTTTCAAGATTCAAAATTGATTTCCGAGAGCAGTGGCGGAGAGGATGTTGACGATCCGAATTTTTGGAAAGAATGAGCTTTTTAGTGGCACACAGCAGCTGGTGGTGATGAATTTTGATCTCCGTATCCATGGAAATGAAAAATCATAAAATGTGGAGAGCACAAGTAACTTTTGATTATTTGACAAGAAAAACTTGGTTAATTATAATTTTTGAAATGATAATAACTGTGACAAATTATATTATACAAGAGATTTAATTATACGGTTCATTTAATTATCTAAAAAGTACTCATTTATCATTTTGCATAGCTTACAAAACACTAAATATTAATTGAACTTAGTCACAATAATTATTTTTAATATTTATAAACTACACGGCGATAAATACAAAAGATTACTACTCTCAATATAAAATATTATCTTTGTCTCATGTAATAGTCAATAGCGGAGGAAAACGCAGCAAATCCGGCAGCACCGATAAGACCCGCTTTAATCCCGGCTGGAATATTAAAAGTAAAAATTTGATTATTCAAAAAGGAACAATTAATTTAAACACTGAACTTTTAAAATGACTCATTAACCTCTTAAACCAATTAACCCTCCCGTAATTGCACCTGCACTCGTTCCATTTTTCCAATCACTTTTCCCACGATACTATAAAGACAGAAATACAGTTTCATTCAGATAAGTCATCATCACTTCTTCAGACACAACCTCTCAACGTACAGATTCAATTACACACTCCGTCGAAGCGAACATTGCACCTACGATGGCGAAATTTTTCGCATGGCTCATCGTCGTCGTCCTCATGTCGCGAAACACTTCCCGTGCAGTTTGTTGTTTTGCATCTGCGCCGGTAATTGTGGGGTTGACGGAGGCGGAGAACAGGCCGATAACACCACCAAAGGCGTAGCCTGAGTAGAAATTAGAATTATATATTTTATTTATAAAAAAAACACGTGGTTTGGGAATATTTTCTTTTATGAAATTTTTGTACTCTTACTAACTTACCCAAAACACAGCTCATGGCACATTTGAAAGCACAGCTTTCAAAAATGGCCTCTATCATTTTCTCCTCCCTCGTTTTGATAACGACAGATCCATACGTTCGAGGAATAACGACGCCTTGCCGCAACTTTGGTTCTGAGCTGATAAGTCGTAGCATTGCCGTTTTGAACTCTTCTGCTGATAATGTGACCTTCTTCGGGGCGTTGGGGTCATCTCGGGGTGGGGTGTTGAAAAACATGTTGACTAGAAAGAAGGGGGGTCAAATTATTATCAAAATTTCAGAATTTTGTCACCCAAGAAAGGTGACGAAATGAAAAAGTAACTTCAGTGCGGTATCATCCCGGTGTTGGTGCGGGGCCAATAGAAAAAGTGGACGTGTAAGTATATAAATTTCTGGGTATGATTTTTCCAAATTTTGAAATGCATGAAATATCATGACATAAATTACTTATAGTGTATCTATAATTAAAAAATAAAAATTCATCTCTTTCAAAATTTAGAATTTAATGATAGTGCCTTAACTATTGGTGAAAGTGCGGTTTCCATGCACAGTTTCATGGAAAACACAGAATATCGATTGCATATCAGATGGTTCATATTTGGAGAGGTTTACTTAACGGAAAAGTGCAGCAATTTAAATATTTCTATTTTGCTGTCAGTGTGAATTACACAATTAACTAAATAAGTTAACCTCCAAATTAATTACTCCACATTTTTGACACTATCTCAAAAAATTCATAATCTGCTGACATAAGTACATACATAACAACTCATCATGGTCATCTCATCTTCATCTCGGAATTTGCTGGTAAGTGCAAAAAAATTGTAATTACGTCCAAATTCCTCATTTCCTTAAACATTACTTAATTCCAAATTAAGTATTCATTTACATATTTAAAGTGCACTTAAAAATAGATGACATGATTGACAAGATTTATTACAACAACATCAATTCAGATATTACTGGTTTGTTTTAAGATAGGAAAAAAACTGGATATTTCTCGTCACGAAAAGAGGTCTGAGCTCTCGCTCTTATCGGGGCAAATTCAAGTCCTGGGATTAACTTGATAACCAGATTTTGTTGGGTAAAGCTGGCAAATAATTTTTGCAACCTTTGAACTGGAATGGCGTTTTACATTTGAATTAATTCATGGCTTATCTTCGACTTCAAATGGGCCGTCGCCGTTATGATGAAATGACGAACGTCTACTTTTTTATTATTAATGCGGATCAAAACTACTTAATAAGTTGCGTTGCATTCATTTCGAGACTTAATTTCGTATGAAATTGTCTCCTACTTGCAATCCTCAGTAGCTTATGCATTACGTTCGTATTCATACTGTCGAAAATAACATGTTCCTGGAACGTGGGGTTTGACTCCACAAATTCATACTCTCTGTTCTCTGTTGTTGTAATCGTGGGCTGAAAGCATAGGGAAAACGAGGATGCAAATCACGCCTGGTAATTTTCCACTGTTTGAATCCACTTATATACTAATCTAAGGTTTGAATATCAAACTATAAATATCATCATGCCTCCTCCCGTCGCGTAATTATGCATGCGTTAAAAATGTAACGTGGAGCGGAAAATAACAAAAAAATTATAATTTGAATAGCACTACACTTTTGAGCATGAATAATATGCATGCTCTGCCTGAATGGCAAAATGGAGGGACAGATTATGCATATGTAGTATGCATAATAAATCTGTATGTATAGATTGCATGCAATTGTGTGTACCTGCATGGAAAATTATGAGTGGTACGGGAATACCTGGACAAATTATGTTATTCGCTAAAAAATTCTGCGGTGAATGGATTTATTTTCTATGTCAATCAAATAATAGGCACGTAATGACTTTATAATTAGTTGACTAAATGAGAGCATGCCTGGCATGAAGGAACATAACTTATCAGCAAATTATACCGAATTTCTGATTTTTTGCTGTTTTCATGAGAAAACTAACTGCGTGGGTAGATCAAAACTTGTACTAATCGATGCACTAAAAGCTTAATTACCATGTTCCACAACAGCATATCGTTGGGCAATTATGTTTAATTTGTGTAAAAATGGTCAATCTTAATAACTTGACAAATTCTTGCCGGGCAGTAAAAACGACGTTTTTGAATCTCCCCTTGCACCCCTGACGGACAGGATTTATGGACAATGTCCTTTAGTGCGTGATGACTTTCTCGTACACAAATAAGTTTCCGGATGAATGTTTCTTTCTATATCCTGGTAGAAACTCATGGCACAGATTGGGCAGAAACTCGGTATTTTCCCCATTTTTCCCCCATATTATTTCATACATACGTATATTCAACAAGAATGCAATAACTATAGACAACTGATGGTGGAAGTCAGGGTTATATTTAGAAAAAAAGACCTTCAGTTTCCTTCCCTTTTATTTCTTACGTACGGGACATGTTTTCCTTATATCACGGTTCGGTTCGTCATGTGCTTTGGGTTGATGAAATTTCTACACACAATTGGATCACTCACCGAATTACGGAGTCTAATCGAAAGTCGGTTCACAATTTATGGGGTAATTTATTTAGTGTTGAGAAAGAGGAAACTCGATAGAATAAATTGTGCTTAAAAAATATCAATTTTTTTGTGGTTTAGTGTGTTTCAATTTAATTTCTGTTGCTCGAGAAAACTCAAGTAATGTGTTTCATTGAAAGGAATTTTATTTGTGAAAAAGGTGTCCAGGATTTATCACGTGATTGCAGCTAGGTCACAGGTGAGTACGTCTACATATACATTTTCATAATATATGTATACACATATTCATGTTGTGGTTGGGTAAAATCTTGTCAATTTATGGTGGGAAAATTGCAAGGAAATTTTTGCAATTTTGCAAAATTTGAGAAAATTTGAGAAATTGTCAGCAAATTACTAAATCCTAGAATTTTGATTTTTGTGTGTGACTTTTGACCTGACCTGTAGTTTATAGTAAAGCGTGCATGTACCTAATCGGAAGTACCCATTTCATAGAAATGTGTACACAAATTGGTTGCATGATTCCGTGTATACAATTTAAAGTCCATATTTACGCTTTCATAATTTTAACCAAAACAAATTATTTGTTAGAGGCAACTATATAAAACGGCTTACTAACTACATAACATGCATGAATTTATGTATGTGTGTGCAGAATTGACATGCAAAACTCATCTGTAAATATGTAACGAGAACGAACCCCACGCTTTTTTATAAACTGTGCATACATATTTACATATGAGACAAACAATGCGTGCCTAAATATAAAAAGTTGAGCATAATGTACACATTTGCAGTGCAAATTTTGCACTGAATCTATAACCCGATGCACTGATCAGTAATAAATATCACACACACGAGGAGAAAAATTACGTAAATTTATTATTATTTTTTTGCTAACTTGATACACACTTTGTTTGCTGACTTTCATTTCGTCCTGGACTCTTGTTTTTCATTTTTATCTATTATTGGCCACAGTGCACAGACAAAGAAAATGGGATGGGTTTGATGACGAAATGTGTACACATTATGGCGTGCAATTTGCACAAGTGGCGAAAAAACAATTTTTGTGCACAAACAACAACAACCCACTCATTCAGGAGGGATGAAAAGTGAAGAGGACACAGTTAATCTTCGGTTTTTTAATATGGACCTGTTTTCCTCGTCTGGTTATAATTACAGTAATTGATTAGAGTTAATTGGTATGAATCCAAATTTGAGAAAATTAAGAAAAAAACATAAGTTTTCGTATGAATTTATTAACCATGAAAATCATGCAGTGATCGATTGAATAATGAGACAACTAATGAAATGACAAATTGCACCCCCTAAAAAAATCATGCATCAGAAAGTGTAGAAAGAAATGAAATGATGATTTATCAGTTTTTTTAGGTGAGATTTGTCTGGGTTTAGTCAGGTGTCACGCAGGTGGGTCATGCAATTTGACGTAATGACGGTCAAGGGTTAATTTCATGTTGACTTTGCTGAATCACGGGGTTGTTTGGTCAGTTTGTGAGTGCTGCTGCTTGCTTAGCAGTCTACTCCTCATCAATTACTTCGGTATCAATGTGTCCATGACCAGGCTGGCTTGTCCGTGAATGACGCTTATTAAATACAGCGAATATGTATTATGCAACTTAAAAGTCATAGAGAATTTCTGCCCAGATCAGTGAAATAAAATCACGCATCGTCCGCGTGCATACCAAAAGCGTGGAAATAAACGATGTCACCGATTTTTACTCCGAGTCAGGGCTTATGCACTCGGCATAGTTGTCTGTCTGTCTATCGGTTAAGCTAGTAAAACTTATCAAATCGATCTTATATTTTGCACACAGGTAGAATATGCAAAATTAGAAATCAAATTCAAATATGGGCAAAATCTGGTGAAAAATACAAAAAAACTGTGCCCACCCAATTGTTAATGACAACCTGACTCGGGCTACATTGTGCATTTTCTGGGTTTTAACCCCTCTGTACGATGTAAATGATAACCTGGTCGTTGCGACCACACCCTTCCCGCACAGCCCCTAAATACCGGAGGAAGTCGTTGAAATTAGCATGGGTCATGACATTCCGTACTTTTTTTGTGACTGCCTTTTGGAAAGCACGCCGTCAAGAAAATAGCACATGGTCTCTCTCTCTCTCTGTCTAAACTTGTTTGTCCCGTCGGTCAAATAAGTAAGATAACGTATCGAATTATTCCATCAACTTCGTCATGTGATAAGTAAAGAACTTTGAGAAATTTAATTGGCCGAGAATGGAGGATCGGTTGAGGTTGGGCTCGTTGGTGTGAATAACACACATAAATAGCGTCACGCGGAGAACTTTTCATTCTGCGGGGTACACATTCTCACGTGCGGACCACACAGAAAGGATGTCGTGGTGGTTCTGATGTCAAGTTTTACATGGGGAGAAGATGCCACCATCCCGCCCGTACGGCCCCTTATTGCATGCATGCACAGTAGTCACTTATTGAGAGTGGGTTAAAGCTATAGTTAACTAACTAACCAACCAAATATCGCAGGGTTATGCATGACGATGATGATGATGACACGGAGGTGGTCGTCGTAATAAAAGCGGAATCCTCTTGATGCAGAGTTACCATTTACTTGCAGAGACGCACAGTGACCACTTATCATCACTACCTCAACCACAACCAAACTCATCCCCCACTCAACCCACACTTATCATCTCTACAACTTACCCGAACCTTATCTTCTTCTTCAGCCAAGATGAGCAATCTCAACCAAGCGAAAAACATTTGGAGGAAGGCGAACGCCGTTTGTTTCGACGTCGACTCCACCGTCATTCAAGAAGAAGCGATCGACGAGCTGGCCAAATATTGCGGAAAAGGGGATGAAGTCCAACAGTTGTAAGTTTTTTGAAAAATTTAAAATAATTTTCGCCCCTTGCAATTCCCCATTTCGCAATATTTGTTACAATTAACTGATTAGAAATATTGCATTTCGCGATACGACTTCCACTTCACTTTGTGCTATCAGATGCGGAAGTGAATGAGTTTGATGGTTAAAAATAGTGTCAATTAGGCAGCAATTGCGTGATAAATGTGACACTAAATGGTAAATAGTCATCCCTACTTTCACCATTTACATGCATAGCTGGATGACTTATTAGTATGGACTTATTTTGCACGTAGACATGCCCATATTTCATCGCGTGATGCCACACACATTCTTTTCATCACCATCAACCTGGTTTGATTCTCAGAGAATGCTAAATACCTACTCAACAACCAGCTGCATGTGAAAATCTGACCACTTACAAATGAAATGCCGTCATAAAAACTTGCCCATGTAGCAAAACTCAACACTGCAGTTTTGCAGGTTTATTGGCAATTTGCAGAAAAAATTGTTTTGTACCTCAGCTGTTTGTGTTAGGAATTTTTGCATGGGTAAATTTCTGCATTTTTCTACCGAGCTGCATACATATGTACATACTACTTTAGTTTATTAAGTTGCGTTATGATTAATGCGATGGGTGCCTAGTTAGTTTGAATGAATGCAAGTCAGCTCACGAAGTGATCACTCGCTAACTGCGTGATTTCTTCTCATTGTATTAATAAAATACATGTGTGAACTCTGCCCCCATTAATTTTGTGGCCTGTAATAACACGGCCAATAAGACGTTAAATGGGTGCATGTAGCTCGTTACGTATTTATTTTTATACTTGTGACGAGTTCAGATTTTACGATGGCTCAATATGCACATATTTTCATAGCGTTGCTGCTTTCATACAGTTTTTGAATTTTGTGTATGAAATGAACTTATGTATTTATTTTTGAACTGCTTAGAACGATGGAGGCGATGAAGGGCGGGATGGACTTTCGCCAAGCCCTCGCCATCCGACTGGACATCATCAGACCGACGTCGACCCAACTACGTAATTTCATCCACGGCGAGAAGCACCGTCTCACGCCTTACGTCAAGTAAGCAAATTTAGTAGTGCTTATGTAACACGTGTTATTATTTACCATTTTGATTCCTTCTTCGATAAGCTATTTGACCGCGAGGTCATTCTTCTTAAACTCGAGGAGGTTTTGGGATATGAATTTTGTCATGAATTTTGAAAAAATGATGTAACAAGTACATGGAATTGAGTTGAAGGATTATTAGATCAGGGAACCCAATGAACTCGGGGAATATGTCATTGACACAATTATAAAACGATACTCGATTCCTTATCTCACTCAGTGCTTATCTGGCTTCCACTTATTTTTGCTAGATTAAACTCATGTACAACGTCGTGCCGTAGTTATTTAGTAGATGGCCATGTTATTTTTTATCCTGGACAAAAAAAAACAACAACAAGCTCGTTGTCCTCCCTCGTTTTCTTGGAGAATCCAGAATCGTACATAAAATCCTTTATTTGAGAGGTCATGCGTAAAGGATGTGCTGAATTTCACATGAGAGAGCCCTTAAAACATGGAATGTTCATCATTCTTTATGCACACCCCTTATCAAAATTTTGTTAAGAACAGCAACTTCGCCTGGAAGGCTGTTCACTTTTTTTGCTTATCAAAAAGATGGGACAAGGTTGCTTGTTGTCGCCGACGTCTTTTTATTCACCAAGTTAACTGGTAAATAACAAGTGATGAGTCTCGTTAAAAAGAGACACTCCTCCAGTTCATCCAATTAAGCTTATTAAGATACATACGTAATAATGTTACGCAATGTATTCACAGTTCCATTTTCATGTTTACGGATAACCAAACAAGTTGTCAACAATTTTTCGTACAATACGTGTTGCTCAACTTTTTCATTTTACATAAACTTTTAATTAATACCATGTAAACTAATTGACAAATTTATCCATTTTTGCAGAGAACTCGTCTACGAGCTTCACAAACGGGAGAAGGAAGTCTACCTGATCTCTGGCGGGTTTAAAAGCATAATTATCCCAGTCGCCAAAGACTTGAATATTCCGACCTCCAACGTGTACGCGAACAAACTCAAGTTCTACTACGATGGTGAGTACGGCTCAAAAGTAATGTGGTCATTTTTGAAAAGAGTTACCTAACCGAACTTGATTTCTTTAGGGGAATACGCCGGCTTTGACGAGAACCAACTCACCTCCCGAAGCGGCGGAAAGGGCGCGGCGGTTCGCGACTTGAAGGAAAAACATGGCTACGAGACCGTCGTCATGGTCGGGGACGGCATGACCGATTGGGAAGCAGCCCCACCAGCAGATCTGTTCATTGGTGAGGGATTAAAGCGAAATTTTTGGTCAAATTTTTACGTCAAATTGTAATTTTCTTTGAATTTTCCAGGCTTTGGTGGCAACGCGTACCGACCCGAGGTTAAAAATAAGTCGAAATGGTACGTCACAGATTTCCGCGACCTCGTCAACGAGCTTAGAGACTAATTTGGAAGGAAAAAAGTAGCTTTTTTTTAAACTGTAACGTTAAGTTTTTTTGTTCGCATCTCGCTTTTTATTTACGATTACACAAAACCGACTGTTCTACACTGTACAATATTACGTAGGAGAAAAAAGGAAATATTTTATCTACTGAGACCTTTATACTTGTTAATAACATATTTAGATTAGAGGACAGGTAATGAATTATGTAAATAATTGTGTAGTATTATTTACCCATTAAAACATACATAGCTCTCTTTCTCTCTCTGTAAAATATACACACAGTTTAATTTAATTTAGTACGAAGACAATTAAATACAAATCTATACACATGGATTTTTAATCAAAAAATAGAAAAGGATTTCTTCTTCCATGCAAAATCTGTCCGTGGCAGGTGGCTGTTTTCATGACTGGTTTTTCATATAATTTGATTCACGTGGAGAAAATAATTCGAATCCAATCAGTAAATACGTTGCACACGTAAAACTATTATTTATGTAAAACAATCGGAACGAAATACATAACGCCATGAATCGCAATTCTGGACGATGGTATTAATATTACGAAATCGGCCACCTGCAGGGCTTGCTATTCGATTACATATGTATGCATGAAAATAGATCGAGATCACAGGGCGGATATGTATGTACGGAAAATCGCTGAAATATATTTATAAAACAATGGTACAATATTTGCGAAATATGTACGAAAAAAATAAGGATTTTAACTAAATTTATAGTTTTTGATGTGGATTTTGTTACGATCCAATTTCTTTAAGCAAAAACATGTCTTATCACATTCTTGAAATGCTTACAAAATTATGGATTTATAAAAAATATCTAAAAAAATTTACATATTTGTCAAATAGCGGAAATATTTCTGAAGAATGTCTCAAAATCTAGAAACATGTAACATTATTTTGAAACTTTTGTCCTCCATAAGATTTAGGGAACACTTCCCACAAATCTTGACCATCGATCGTCATGAAATTCAAAGTCGAAAACATACATATCCACCCTCTGTCCATCCCATCCCGTCTGCACGGACCTTTTTTGAGTGCACTTGGTCTATCGTGAAGGACTTTTTCTTCTGTCCTCTCCGTTCAGTTCTGTTCTCCTCGTTCTTGTTCTGTCCAAACATTAATATTCTGCTGACTGAGTGATGTTTCGCATTACATTTCTCTCTTTGTGCTCCTCTCTCCTCTCCTATCTCTGTCTGTAACTGGAGTCGGCTGCTTTTTTACCCCTTTCTCCACGCTCTTCACTTTCACATCATTTCCAATTTGGCCTATTCCTGCCAAAAAGAGAAGGCCCACCTGCCGGGTCTTTACAAACCACCACCACCACCACCACCGTTCAATTCATGCATGAGAACAAAGCAGCAGGAAAAACTTTCTCTTCTTCCTGTTGCCTCGTGGTTTGGTTTGGTTTGGTTCTATTGACGACGGCATTTCGAAAAACGGAGTACGTACGGGAGCAAAAATCGATCCCCATTAACGCAATAAGCTCACTTTAGAAGACCATACCAGCTCCACGACTTTATTCTGCCGAGGAAAAAATAACACAACACAACAACACGAGACGGAATGACGTCTAATTAATCATACACAAAATACATAATACATAACTGGCCGTGACATTTGACCCGATTAACTTACACTAAATTTGATAAGACACATTACCGGATCGATTATTGGTACGTAGATGTTTCACCCACCAATTTATGGAGTGAGGTGAGGGGACATTCATTTCAGTGAAGAAGTGGGAGGGATGAGATTCTAATGGTTTGCGACACAGGGTAAAATGGGGTGTTTTTATTGGAAATTTGTAATTGGTGAGTGGTTGTTGCGTAATTAGAGTAATGTGGCCTGGACGAGAAAGTAGGTTATGACTGGGACGAGGGGGAGGACAATCCAGGTGGCGAAGTGTTTGACGATGAGGTCGTCCAGGTTGGTCATCCTCCAGGCCGAGGGATCATCGAGCAAGCCAAATTTCCCCAAATCTCGCCAACAGTACTGCGAGGGGCATTTGGCGTAGAGGAAATTGTTCCAAAATCTGGAAAAAGGGGGACGATTATGTTACCATTGGCACATTTGAGTATGAAAATGTATGATAAACGTCCATGGAAAAATGAAGGTTTGCATTTGTATTTTATCGTGGCAGAGAAAGAATCAAAAGTTGGAGATGGTAGGAAAGATAGGATTTTGCGAGAGATTTGCATATTTTTTGCACGTTCGACGCTATAAGTATTTTGACAACTCACCTCGGCAAGTTGGCAAAGTCCTGGTTCGAAATGTCGGCCCGATTGAAGGAGAATTTCACGGGGAAATCGTTGTCCACGTTGCTACCCGCCTCCAGATATCTGTCAAACCTACAAGTGATCAGACAAGGGACGTCATTTTGATACGCTTTCTCTTAATTATTTATCTACTAACAAATGAGAATATTTTAGTTTGGGCAAAATTTTCCACTCATTTAATAACGAACAAAATTCTCTTTTTTGAATAAAGTTTTCTTAAAAAGTTACATTTTCAGGGAAACAGTCAATTAGTCGACAAAAATAGAAAATTTCTGTATGATCCATACTCCATCCGATGAGAAGAGAGCTTCACTTCTCGTCCCAATTTCATGGAATTGTGTGTCACCCAAAAAGTTGGCAGACGTTTCGATTTTATACATTTCACATTTATTGCGACATTGCAAAAACGTCGCACGAGACGAGACAAGTCTAATATTGGAAAAATAATCAATCCTGATGAATTTTTCAGTGTCATTTTTGTCATTGTCACCGCCACGGATTCAACAAGAGGGTAGGAAACTAGACAGGGAAGGAATTGTGTCACAAAGCTTCCGTCATTAATTGACTGACAGCTAAATAGTGACGACGATGATGCCGCGACTATCTGTCAGATTAAAGAATAAGTCGTCCGAAAGGAGCTGAAACGGGGTTGTGCATTAAGAATGGGGTTCCATTTTGTGGAAATGTGACCATGTGACGTCCATCCCGACTTCGAATTTGAACAGATTTCCTGCAAAAACTTGGCTCAATATTCTGAAGAAATTTGGCCAAATTTTCTACGGAAAAGCCGTTCAAATTTCTAGTCTAGAAACCCTCGTTGACTAACAATTTATGGTGAAAGTTTATGGTGAAGAATTATGCATAAACAGTTCTGCAGAATAAAACAGGAATTTCTGCAGGAATATGTAATCATCAATTTTGCAAAATACAATATCCATCAAGCTTTTGTCAATTACTGCAGAATTCGATGATTTCCACTCGGGTCATGTTAATCATAAAATATCCATGACACCCTTTCTGCATGGCATCTCCCCAGTGTCACAACAATTACCTTACATACACGCCTATACTGCCGTCTCGATACCGCACCTCGGTTATCGTTCCATCCACAGGAATCGATTCGCAGGAGGAGGAGGAGGAAGTGTCATTCAAATCTGACGTGGTGGTGGTCGTCGTTTCGTTTCCTCCTTTCCCGATGTCAACATTTCTGTGCAAAAGTCATAATATCGAAATCACTTGATTGATTTTTGTCCCGAGATTAATTTCGAGAAAGTCAAAAATCATTAAAATCATGGCTATTTTTGTATCCTGATCAATTCCCAGATTTTTAGGCATCGAAATAAATATCTCTACTTTTTGTGATCCAGATTTGACTGCATGATGTCGTTTTGGTGGCAAAATTATGAGAACTTTACACCAAGTTTTTATACCAAGACGCCAAAATATGAATACAGATACTTTCTCAATCAGTTTATATTCTAGTTTTGGAGGCTTCTTCACTCCCCGTCGGACTTGGAATTCTCGTCACGAGCACAAAATTTACATCAAACTTTGACAAGAATATTCTCAAAGTCTCGCGTCTCGTGGTGATCTCTCAAGTCGATTCGATTCGATACTGATCTCGGTTGCACAAGGTTCGCGAGGTGACAGTTTTGCATGTGTTACTTTCAAACATTGTATGCGAAATTGTGCACAAAGCATGATTTACTAAAGGACAAAAACATGTAGCAAAATTGAAATTTCTTAGGAAAACATTAATTAAGACAACACGCAACATGAAATTTAAAAAATCCTAACGCTTGCAAATCATAACTAAAAAAGCATACCGAAAACATCATTTTGATCATTTTGCCGACTAAAAAAACATCAGTTAACTGAAACAAGATTCGTCAAAATGCAAAATGAGATTTCTACTCGAAATAGAAATATTCGCATTAATTACTCAACCAAAAAGCATCCTAAAATTAATTTGTCCCCCAAAACCTGAACCTTTCCACTAGCAAAAAAAAACGCACCCTGTTTTAGCAACCCTTGACGCCGCGATCTTTTCCTTCCTATCCGTTGTTGCATTTGGATTGATGGTGGTGAGAAAGTTTTTCATATTCGACATGTAAAAGCACTAGACTCTCGAGAAACCCGTCACCCATCAGATAACGTCCCTTCCCGTCCCTCTATTACGAGTATTGATGCCAAACCCACCTTGTTAGTCACAGTTTGCTTTCGTTGGGCTGCTATCATAATAATCAATACAATGCGACTCCTACTGTACGGCCTACACAGCAATGCCAACTTGTCAACGACCACAATAAACTATTTCTAGCCGTGTTCGCACAACATTTCGTGTCGCAGTTCATGACTGACACACTTAACAAAAATTTGTAAGATGAGAACCTGTGGCAAATTTCAAAAGACTTAGTAAAAATAAATATTTTTCCGTTCAATGAAATTTCCACATATTTCTTTTGTACTTGACGATGTGGTCTGTCTGTTGTCGTGAAAGCACGCTAATTGAACCGTGTACATAGGTATGTACGTACATAAGCATACGTAACTCTTCATAGAAAGCCGTGCATGTAGGTTTGGCGTGAAAGTCATAATACTTGCTCGCAATTCTGTGTACAATTCCATTCCTCGGCCAGTCGGCGAGTAAATAAATATGTAATTATTAGTCGCTATACTTGTAGGTTTTGTGTAGATGCGTGCCTCCTTTTCGACCCTCCCACCCGCCTAATTTTAGCATTTTGACTTCAACTCGGCCAGGGGTGAACATGTGTATGTCCATGTTACGCTCGACATTACGAGAGAGGGGTCAAGCTTATTTCCTTTCTGCATCCTGTCTGAATGACCCCAACTAATAATTGGCAGGTATAAGCTCCACTCATGAATTATGAGAACAAAGCGTTCTTCCCGATTGATATGATTTGTGACCTTTTGGTGGCGTGGTGTTGTTTGTAGCGACTTATTGTGCAACGCGATCTTGTGTAAGAGTGGGTGGGTGGGTGTAAGTATGCTGAATTCTTCATGATCAAATGGACATTCATTCCCAGTTGGAAATTGCTAATCTGTTTTGGACAGAGGGTGGATATGTATTTATTTTCGGCGTTTTCGTTGGATGATGACCAGTGATTAAAGTATGTGGGTGTGTTAACCATAACTCGTATAAATCGCAAAAATTTTGAAATATTTTTTATATTTTTCTAGGTTTTCAGACATAGATATTTCCGTAATTATTTGAAAAATATGTAAATCTTTTAGATATTTTTTTTCAAAAATACATATTTTGTAAATATTTAAGCGATGTGAGACGAACTTTTTTCTCCGAAGAAATTTTACCGCAAAAAATCCAGAGGACTAAATTCAGAAATACAAATTTTGCGCAAATTTTTACTTTCATGGTGTTTTTCGTACATATTTCGTAAAAATTAAATACACGATTCAGCGATTTTTCGTAAATACATATCCGCCCTGTGGTCAAAATTTATTCAACTCCACATACCTCACGTCTCTCAGGGGGCTGGTGGCATTGGTCAGAGTGAAGGCAAAAATTCTAGCCGCGATTAAAACTCCGTCCCTGGAAAGAAGAAATTGGACAAAATTTGAACAAATGTGCAGGGGCATGAATTTCTAAGAAAATAAATACATGTTTTTTTCTTGTCGATAATTTGGCAACAAAATATTTGGGAAATAAGACGACACAAGTATCGTTAAATATCAAAAGAAGAATGATTTGCAAAACTTATTCATGCAAGAAAAGAAAGAGCGTCCAACTTTTTTGTTGAAACCGTAACGAGCTCATTATTATTCGCCCAATTGAGCAAAATAAAGTACAAGGGACGTGCGGAGAGGGTGTGACCTCTGTTTGAGAGGGTCATATCCCCTTTGACCGTTTGCATATGTAATATGTGCTAAAAATTTAGCACATCCTTTCAACAGGACCCCAACTCGATGAAGAGATAATAACGAGGAAAGTTAAAAACTGTTGTTATCATTATACGGGAATATTCGCCAAATTATCGGGATTGACCAAATAAAAAAAAAGTATGGAATTCATCCACTTTGAGGATAAAAAGGTTCACTACTTGACACTCTCAGATTTTGGTGTCCTTCGGATACGTTGCTGCATCCCAGGAGTGAACAAGAACCCCCAACATTTGCTTCCGCCTTATTCACTTAAATGGACCAAAAATCTAAAAAAAAAGCTCCCTTTTCACTTGTTAAAACTTTCCCCAAGAATCCAATTTTATTAGGATTTTGAAAATTCTTGCACCATTATACTCCCAGATAATCGCTTTCTCATTTTCAGTATCAGACTAAAGTTTTTTGAGATTTCGTTTTTTTCCAAGGCAGATTTGAAGGGCAGGAAATTTTCAGAAATATTTTTTTTATTAAAAACTTGAGGTTGATATTGTGCATGATAAAGCAACCATCTTGGACTACTTCACAATGGTGCTAGAATGTTCAAAATCCTAGTAAAATGAGATTTTTGACCAGAGCTCGAAGCGAAAATGAGCGAAAATGTGGTCATGGCATCTAACAAATTAGGAGTTCTTGTTCATTCATGGGATACAAGATGTCCGAAGGGCCTCGAAATCTGAGAGGTGCAAGCAGTGAAGCTTTCCTCCGCCGAGTGGAAGTGGATGGAGAGCATTCTGAGCATAATTGTCCTTTCACTGGACTGTGCATTACACAGCATACAATCAAACCATCCACAGGGCAATTCCGTCGTGATGGATTTACGTGGAGGAAATGCTTTCTCCTGAACAGGGTTTCCTTACACGTTTCGCCCAATTTAATTAATTAGTAAAGTGGGCGAAATACTGAGAAGTGTGAGGCAATCAGGAAAATTAATATCGCCGCTGTTCACGCAAAAGTCGGGAGTAACAGTTGTCGCATTCAAAACCAGTTGGTTGGAAACATACGATAAGATGTCCGATAAAAAAATACGAAAAAAACTCAAAACCTATGGGAACATATATAAGTTGCCCGATAAAAATATGAGAAAAACGTCTTATGTCCCCCAAAAATGGATCGGACAACTCACTTTTTCAACGGGTTTTGACAGCGACAACTTAAATTTCCGACTTTGGAACGATACGTTTTCTGTATCATGCCGACTTTCTAATGTTTCTGGACAGGGGATGAAATGCAGCCGATTTTTATTTCTGACCCGGTAAAAGGCACTTTGTCCCCAGAATTTCTTGGTTTTCCATTCATGAACCCTGTTTCCTCTCCGTGTGGACATAAAAGGTTAAAAAAACACTCACTTCAATAGCGTACAATTTCCGCCGAGGAGTCTGATGAGTTTGGTGCATTCTCTAAATGCGCGGCCATCACCAGCCTGACGAGAGCACCGGGTTGGCACTGCAATCAACGAAATGAGAAAAAATGTAGTACCGTATTGTTAAGGACATAATCAGGCCGGAGTAAGTATTAGTGGGACGAGCTTTCGTGACGAGGTTCGGAAAACCATGAGACAGTTTCTTTCAACTCGATAATTGCATTCTTTGTGCAACTCTGGAGATTCGAATGGTAAACATTTTTCGACATTGCACTTAAAAAATTAAATTTCCTCGTAATTTCATACACGTATTATTGGAAAATTTTGGTAAGAAAACAAATGCGTAGAGTTACCGAATTGGTAACAAGCTGGTAGCAAACAACCAAATTTTTAGCTAAACTCACGCCATGTGATATTGTCATTTTACTACAAAATCTGAAGACCTATTATTACCAAATTTTGAAAACCCCGAATCGGTGGAGTTACTAAATTGGTAAAATAAAACCAAATTTTTACGCCCATATTGCTCTACCTTACCATTATCTTGTGGTATTGTCGCTTTACCATGAAATCTACCAAACCGATAAGCCCTGCACGACTAGGTAATACGTAAGTAATCTGTCGAAAAACTTGTAAGAGTGTGCTTATTTACTTTGTTGGAACAAAGTATACATTTTTAGCCCAAGTCAGAGCTTATGTATTTACCAGGCATATCCGTTTGTCTGTCCGTCAGTCAGTCTGTCTGTCTGTCTATCGATTACGCTTGTAAAACTTATCCAATCGACTTGAAATTTTGAACACACATAAAATATGCAAAATTACAAAAGAAGTTCGGGGATGAGCAAAATCCAGGGAAAAATAAAAAGTTAAACCACCTCAATTATTAATATCAACCTGACTCGGGCTGCACTGTGGGTTTTAGCTCTCCGAAGACCGACCCTGAGAGATGGGCAACTTTGGTAGCATTTTGAGCCATCAATACATAAAAGTGCATCTCCATCAAACAGCCGACTGCACACAATTTGTCCTGCGGGATGTGTTCCTTCCAATCTTGTCCGCATGAACGTGAACATTTATTTTATTTATTTTGCTGAAATGATCTACTTTTTCCATCCTTTCGCGATTGCGGGTACATATTTTTTGACACTCGGCACATGAAGAGGAGTAATTTTTATTTAGATTTGGTCTCCCAAAATCCTCACCCCGTGAGTAACGGGATATTCAAATTTTATTCAAATCCAAGGATAAGATGCATATGCAACAGAGTGAAGGAAGATATAGCTCATTTGCATATATAGAGAAACATACGTTCACTTTCACATTCTTCTTCAAAGTAAGTAGTCAAAACCAGGCTGGAAAGGTGAAAGCAGGGTGTGAACAGTGCATAGTGTGATTTTTATGGTTATTTTGGCAGTTTATAATTTATTGGGATTTTTGTCGAAAAAATGTAGACATGGAAAGTAGCATGATTTTTGTGGTTATCTTTGCATTTTACAATTTATTAGTATTTTCTAAAATATAAACTGGGAAAGTGGAGTGATGTTTGTAGTTATTTTTTATATTTCAAAGTATCTTTTCTCAAAAAAATATTGGCAGGGAAAGTACCGTTTTTGATGGTATTTTCCGCATTTTAAATTTTTTTGGAGTGTTTTCGAAAAAATGTGTGCAAGTTCTTTAATTTTTGTGGTATTTCTTTGTATTTCACAATTTATCTGTGTTTAGAAAAATATATAGAAAAGGAAATTATTCAGATTGTTCTTTCTTATTTAACAATTTATTGGCTATTAATTTTTTGTTAAAAAATACAGACAGTGAAAGTAGCGTAATTTTTGTGGTTATTTTCTTATTTCACAATTTATTCTTCTGTTTTTCAACTATTTTTTTAAACAGACCAGAAAACTTTCCATCGTGAACTTTCTGAGTCTGTCATTTCATCAACTCAACAATAAAAAATCATGCCACGATTTATTTTTAAGAAACCTGCCCACCTTTTGGGAACCCTTTCCTACAACAAAAGTAGCAAACAATGGGACACCGAAGCAGCAGCCGAAGCAGGGTTAAGAATTTTATACAAAAGACAACATCTCTCTCTCTCTCTCAGGAAAGGTTGGGCTTTATTTTCGCTCTGTGAAGAAAGCAGTGAAAGCGATGAATTGTGTGTTTGGGAGAAAACCAGCGGAGAGAGAAAGTCGTATATTTGAGAGGGGAAAGGAAAGTCTTTCCCATTACACGAGCCTCCTTCCATCCAAAACTTAGTGCTTACACCGACATGACGAGCATACCAAGAGACCGACCAGGGTGGAGCACGTCTAACTTGCTTATCCTGCTGACCTGCAACATTGTCTCACTCATACCCTCCATGCATGGCAATATCTTCGCGGATTGATTTTTCGCAACTTAAAACCGAATCTAAACAGGAAAACGTGTACATTTGTTTTATTTTCTAGTCTGGAATAATGCATGACGATACAGATAATTGGAGGTACAGAGTTTCCAATTGAAATCAACTAGCGTTATCAATGGAGCTCTAAAAGTATGCATAGCCGCCGTGACGCCCCGTCATTATTACGATAAATAGTTACGTATAGGAGGAGGAGGACGACGACGGACGTTCGTAATAATGGGGAAGAGAGGATCCTCACAATTTCAACGGCGGCAGGCAGGCCGTGCAGATAGGATTCTGACCAAGCCGATGATCCAACCCAATGTCAAGTAAAGAGCGATCCTGGTGCCACGAAATTGCAAAAAATTGGCAAACGGGTAGGTAAAATGGAGACAAAGTGAGACGAAAAGTGGTAAATTTCTCCAATTTAATTTTCCCGTTGGATTAACGCCGCTTTAAATTTTTCTGTCATCTCGATCTATGTCAAAACGGCATCCTTTGTGCGGGTCTCCTTAATCGAGAGGTGGATAAGTAGAGATGGAGGGAGAGAAAATCCGAATCAGCATAACCATTACCCCCGTTCACCTGAGAACAATAGTCTCTAAAATAGTCCCGATGTGCTCTTTTATCTTCAAGTTTCCACCATCATTTCAGTCCAGCTGCATTTCTTTACGTTCTCCTTTTGGGAATATCTCCATCCATATCTGCAGCAGCATCATCAAGGGGGTTGTGCTGCGAGGATGTCGTGATGGCTTGTTCGCAGGGGTCGTAACTCAAAGTGATGGGACATTCGTTCTGCATGGAGGAGGCCGGGGCCGGACTGGACTTGGAGGATGCACTTGGACGACGAGGACACCACGAGGACGGGGACAAAGGATCAGAGAGAAAGCGGATCCGATGGGAGGAAAAGGTGTCGATGCGAATGTGTTATAAAGTCAAAACCACAAAGTTTGGTTTTGGTCGTCGTCGCTTTGTGAGTGAGTGAGTGAGTGAGTGAGGAATTTCACTGAATTTCTCTCTTTCCATGTCCGCTATCCGAGAGACCACAGATTTATCACGGGGTTCCCCTAATGCGAGATTGTGGCTGGATGGATTTTGGACAACGCTAAAGTATGCACTCGATAGAAATGTCCTCTTTTTGCGAAGTATGTAAGTATAATCTAGTCGAATGTTTTGAAATATAATATTTTCATGTGTTTTGAAACCTAAAATTGCATATGATTGCGCCAAGTCCCATAACAAAAGTAGTACGTATTTCTATTCACGTAGAAAAACTTGTAACAAACGATGATGAAAAGTATGATTTTTCAATCAGAAAATTTCTAGATAACTAATAAAAAATTATATTTTGGAAACTATGGTCTTTCTGCATTGGTCTCTTCCAGAGGTCGACGCCGAACAATTTTTTGCCTGGCGTACCAATATTGAGCGAATAGGATATCAGATTTATCGCAAAATGCTACCTGCGGCGTCGACCCCTGGTTTCCTCCACTTTCACGCGGTAATGAATCCAACACATATTCGTGCCCCGAGTCGTTGTGGACAGCCGTACGTCCAAAATAAATGGTTTGTAAATGCATATTTAGCAACAGGACTACATTAGTCTGGTTGCATGCACTGAAAGATCTCCCATTTTAGTCCGGGGGTCAGGAAGCGACGTGCAGACACGTGTCCTGCTTGACATCCTTTGTGCACGGTTCTTTCGAAAAGGTGGAAACCGTGGCGAATCTCCCTCGAGGAGGAGGAACACATGTAATGAAGAGAAATTCACAGGCGGTGTTCACAAAGTAGATACTCAGCCCATTAAGGAAACACTCGCTCTCATGTGAAATGCATACGTGAAACTAATAAACTCGAAACCAGTGAAAAATTAAATTCATGAGTTTCCGTACAGTCCGCTTTCACTCCACGTTCTATTAGATCCGGAAAATTACAGAGTTTGTCATGAATAATATCTACGTGGTCACCTCCACGGGTCTGATTTCTTCCAAAAATCTCCAAAATCCAGCAAAAATGACACATCACGTAAGCGTAAAAATCGAATCACGACACGCTGCAGGTAGAAAGCCAACTTTCGTGAACCACGCCCAGCCAGAAAATCCTACAGATGGGTAAGTAATGTACATATTTATGTATATAATGCGCCTTGATAACACCTTATCATCCTTCTCACCCTGCCCCTACAAATATTTTATAATAAACTTATGCTTTTTCTGAGAAAATCTCATCTCTTTGTTTAGTCGGCGGTCGGAAGTTGGATAATATTTTCCCTCCTCCGCTCCAAGTAAATATAAACATTTACATATTTCTTGTCTGACAGAGAAACCACACATTTTTCACACCCACCCACCCAGCAAAAGTGGAAATAAGGAGGGAAACCTCACGGCGACGAGGTTCGCAGGCAGGATATTGCAAGACTTTTACCGGAAGAAAGCAACTGTATACATTTCCATTTCCCACGCCACCCAACTTATTCAGCCTCCCAGCCAGCTTTGTTTTACACGGGCGGAAAAATATATACGAAATCTTATCCGTGGAAAAGTCACCATGTAAAAGATCCGATCCGATCCATTCATGTTGGAGGAGAGAGATGAAAAAAGCGTCATTTCAGAGTGATAATGTTTTGGCAGGAGTGTCGTGGCAAAATAGAGAATCTGACTCACAACCACGCGACCACGTAGGGATCCCTCAGCATAAAAA